AAACAGAAAGTGCTCCATGTTTGTGGACTGAGGCTGAATGACCAGGTCACTGCTGCCCCACAGAGAGGTCTCCACAACATGGAGAAATCATGTCGAGAATTCATTCATTCAAGAACAACTGTGGTGCACCTATATGTGCTGTGGGAAATATTTTTTAAAGGGTACAAACCTGGTCCCCATTTCAAGCACACTTCTTTGCAAATAAAAGCTATATTCAGTAAATAATCCTGCCAGGTGATATGACAAGTGTCAAATAAGTTTCGACAATAACAAATAGCTGAGAAAGTCAGGCAGGCCTGGTTAGGACTCAATCCTAGATCTGCCTCTTATTAGCAAGGTACTTAACTTGTGCCTGACTCAGTCTCCCCATCTGTAAAGCAATGATGAGCTCTGACCTCCTGTTCTACCACTCCCTGTCCTTCCCTCTGCTCTAGCCACTCTGGCTTTCTTATTGTTCCCCAAACTCTTCTGTACTGTTTCCACTCACGACACTTCTAACACCAAACATGGGGGTTTTCTTCACACCAACCAATTCTCACTCTCCAGACACTAACTGGGTACCCTACAATTCAATTCAGTTCTGACCCCAACCACCTGGAGTTAGCACAGACCTCACAGGTAGGGGCTCAGGCCCACAAGAATGCCCACACTTCACATGCCAGTCGCTAAGTCTGGGCTGCCTGCACTTCCAACTGACTGTGAAGTCAGGAGGTTCCTACAATCACCTCCTCAGGTTGGGTAGTTTGCTAGAGCAGCTCACAGAACTTAGAAAAGCACTTTATTTACTATCACCAGTTTATTATAAAAACACAGCTAAGAAACCACCACATGGAAAAGAGAGGACAAGATATGGGAATGGAAGTTTCCAGGCGCTTCCATTCCCTTTCCAGGCATCACCTTCCCAGCACCTTGATGTGTTCACCAACAGGAAGCTCTCCAAAACCCATCATTTAGGGTTTTTAAGAAAGCTCTATTTGTGATCCACTGCATTGGTTAAAAAAAAAATTTTTAAGAAAGCTCTATGCTGCAGGCATGACTGTTTAGATCATTGTCCATTGGTGACTGACACAATCTCCAGAGGTTACAGTATGGGGCTGAAACTTCGAATACCCTAATCACGTGGTTGGTTCCTCAGGCAATCAGCCTCCATCCTGAAGCTATCTAGGGGCCCATCAAGGGCCCTCTGGTTAGCAGAAACTCAGGTAGAGGTGAAAGGGATTTGCTATAAATAACAAAAGATGCTCTTATCACCATTTCTCAAAAAATTACAAGGGTTTTAGAAGCTATGTCAGGAACTTGGGACAAGACCAAGTATATATTTCTTCTTACCACACGCCTGCCTTAGGACTCTCACACTTTATGGTTTCTCAGCCTAGGACACTTCTCTGAAATCTGAATCATTCAGGTCTCTACTAAAATCCTGCCTTCCCAGAGAAATCACTCCCTAACTACCTACTTAAAACTTAAAACAGCATCTTCCTCTGCACTCATGTCATTCCTTATCTTATTCCCTTACTCTGCTTTCTTTTCTTTTTTGAGACAGGACCTTGCTTTGTCACTCAGGCTGAAGTACAGAGGTGGGATCACAGCTCACTGCAGCCTCAAACTCCTGGGCTCAAGCCATACTCCTGCCTCAGCCTCCCAAGTGCTGGGACAACCGGCACACACCACCATGTGCAACTAATTTTGTGTGTGTGTGTGTGTGTGTGTGTGTGTTAGAAACGATATCTTGATATGCTGCCCAGGCTGATCTTGAACTTCTGGCCCCAAAATGCTTTATTTTCTTTACAGTACTTACCAGTACTTGAAATAAAGTTACTGAAGAAAACCAAAACATTTCACTTCAAAATAGACTTGTTTGACATATTTTGAGATGGCCGTTCAGAGGGCCTACAGATAAAAGTAGTCCTACTGTCTTTTGTGAGAGAGATAAGCATCTGTAGAGAATCTACATTAACGCAGCCAGGTTTTTTTAAAAGGCCCTTCCTTGTCTGGATCTGGGAGAGATCAGCTGAGTTTGGAAGCTTCAAGGTCTGAAACATTTATTCTCACTGAGAGCTGCTACCTGTGAGGTTTCATCTACATAAGACCCCTTTTGCTAGTAGGGTCTCCTCTTCTCTCCCTCCTATAACCTGATTTACAACCATAACTTGTTTTTGCCCAAGCTTAGAGGCCCCACTCTTTCTGTAACCTCAAGATGACATAAAAGTGGTAACGATCTTGCCTTTCTTTGAGATTTTATTTTATAAGATTCTCACACACCTTAATAAATGTGTATGCCTTCTCTACTAATCTGTCATTTGTCAGTTGATTTTTCAGTGAATCTTCATGGGGCACGGAAGTTGTTTTCCCTTAAACCCTATGCTATATATTTGTTTATCCCCTCCCCTTTTTTTCCTATCTCCTACTAGGATGTAAATTCATGAGGGCAAGGTCTTGGTCCTAGCTAAATCCCCAGTGTCTAAAACACCTGGTTCATGGGTGTACTCAAAAAACTATTTGTCGAATAAATGTTCATAACAAGATATAATACCTACATCAAAGGGTTTTTGTGAGGATTAAATGCAAGAGTGCACATAGAGGGATAGGAAGTGCATAATGCAATGCCTAGCACATGTGTAAGCTTAATAACGTTGGTCAACACTATTATCAGAGGATTCCAGAAGACAGTTAGGTCAACATGGGCAGGAGCAGTTACAGAACGTTTCAAGGAGGTGGCAAGTCTTGGGCTTGATTGGAAGGATAAGGATTTTTTTCTCTAGGTGGGGACACTGTAGGAAGTTGAAAGTGTCTCCTCTGCACAAGCCACCCCTCCCAACATTTCTTCATACCCCTATCAAATGCATAGTCATCACACCGTACAAATGACCTATTAGCCAGCCTCTCTCTGTCCATCTGTTAATCAATTAGTTTTCATTTCTGTATCACCAGAGCCTAGATGAATTCACTAAAGGGCACCCAGCAATGTAGCTGAATTAGTTTCAGAAATTTGTGGAAAAGAAACAGCCTACTGTTCTGTCCAGCAATCCAGGCTTAAGTGTCTATCCTAAAGTAAAAGTGTCAGCATTAAAAATCATGTACAGAGATGTTCACTTGTAAGAGAGACAGAAAAAAAGTAGCAAACAGAATGCCCATTACTAGAAAACCATGAAAAAGCTATGATGCATTCAAACTCTGCAGAGGTTGCACTGAATAAGACAGTTAAACAATCTCCAACATATACTATTAAACTAAAAAAGAGAATACACATACAGTGATCTCATTTAGGTAAAACAAAAATTTTTAAACCTCACACAAACGAAACCTCAAGAGTTCTCTGAGTTTGTGCATATTACATACAGATACATGTTTTGTTAACTATTGTATCAACTCTTCAATACTGCGCCTGAAACATAAGTTCTCAATAAATATTTGCTGAAGACATAGGTACATGAATAGAAAAAGACTGGAAAATAGATCTGCTTTTCATGCCAAGTATTTCAGGCCGGTTTGCATTTTTAAAAGACTGTCTTAATGTATTACTCGTACAATTAAAATGAATTTAAAACAGTTATAAAAGTTCCAGGGACTTGATATACCATATCTGGTCTAAGCACCAGACTCTTATATCTGGTCCAAGCACCAGACTCTGAATAACTTATCCAGGTAATTACCTTCATCGTTCAGAGTCATGAGAGCTCTAGCATAGCAAATCGACGCTCACTTTACCTCTCCAGCATGAGACCCCTTAAAAGCATAAAGATGAATTTTGAGGTGCGGGGTTTTCCATTGTTCGACAAGCTCTTTCTAAAGGGTCCTTTTCTCCCAAACCACGACGCCCCTGGAGCTGTGGCTCTGGCTCGGCCTTCTCTGCGCACCCACAGGGAGCGAGTAAGCGCCGAACGCGGGGAGGAAAGTCCTCCGGGTGGGAGTGCGCACGCTGCGCGGGCGCGGGGGAAGGAAACTCACTTTCCGACTGGCCCCTTCTCTGGCTGTGATCTGTCTCTCCTGCTCAGGCATCGTCCCGCGCGGACACGGAATTCTTCTCTGATCCGGCTCAGAGCCAAAGGTCACCAGGTCGGCGGAGGAGGGCGCGGTGTAAAGCCTCCGGGAGAGGAGGCGCTGGGCGTGAGGGCGTTGGCCCGGCTCTAATGCAAGGAGGGGCCCGGGCACCGCCAGTTGATTTGGGACTGGGCAATGTGCTGCCCTAGCCACAAGGCTGTTTCAATGTTGCGCGCCGCCGTCCTCCCGACCCGCGGACGCGGGGCGAGTGGGCCTCGGATTCTCACCCACTCCCTGGGGGGCTGGCAGTGCCCGCCCTGGAGCTGCCGGCCCCGCCGGTGCCTCAGTGTCCTCGGCCGTGCCGGTGCCACAGGGAGGCCCGTCCTGGTCCGCGGTCTCGGCCACCTCGCGCCGGTTCGCTCCTACACTGTCCTGGGATCTCAGGCGTGTGCGGGAGCGGAAGGGCAGGTGAGCGGCGCAGAACCGGGCCGCAGACCCGGCTCCCAGAGCTAGCCCAACGCCTGCAGGGAAGGTGCCGAGTGGCACCGCAACGTGTCCGCTCTGCGCCGCCCCTCCTCGGACTCTGAGCCTGGCTGCCGGTGCCTCGGATCCCAAAGGAAGCAACCGCGGCGAGAGTGAACTCCGCACCTGAAAAATCGATCTGTGGTGTGCAAAGGCCAGCCACTGGCCTCCAACGGGTGGCGGGCTCTCGACCGGGGGCGGGGTCGCGGGTGCCCAGGCTGGGGCTTCCAGTGGGGGAGGGGACCGAGGGCGGGAGCGACGGCTGTCAATCACAGGCCACGCCCTCCTCGGCCCAACCCCCACTGCTGTCCCGCCCAAGGGGGCGGAGATCCGTGTTCACCACGCCGAACGTTAGTCTACGCCTCGGCAGATTCTATTGGCTGAAAGGCCGTGGGAAGCAGCTACCAGTAACCAATTGTAACGCACAATTGGCCCGTGGGGGCGGGGCGAGCACGGCTCGCTTTATCGGGAGCCAATAGAGAAAAGGAAAGTGAAGCATTTCCTGTGTTCGAGGGTCGGCGGAAGATGGCGGCCGCCCAAGGGGTCTGGTGCCTGTGCAGCTTTTTGAGGTGAGGAGCCGGTCGTGTGGGCTCACAGACGTTTTCTGTTTTATAGTGGTACTTGCCTGTCCAGTGTAGCTATATTTTGCGGGGAAATGGCTTACCTTGTCATGAATCTAAGGTAATTTCTCAGGCCAATGAGCAGTCTTTTTCTTGGAGGCCTGTATGGGCTGGAACAGACTAGGTCTTGACTCAGTTTTCCGCGTTTTCTTCTGCTTTACTGTTGACTGAGGGGTCGTGTTCCCTTCCCTGTTTCAGCTTTTTCTTTCTCTTTCACACTCTAATTAGTCTGTCATAAATTGTTTATATTCATTCCTCATTTTTCTTTACTATTGAGCCAGAGACATTTTCCAATCTATCATGTCTCTTTTCGGTAAAGAACAGGATCTTCCTTCTCATCTTAGTTTCTCCTCTTAAACTCACCAAAGCTTCCATTGTTAACACGTCACTTAAATATAAAGCTTATGTTGAATCCTCTGCTTTTTGACAATCTATTATTTTAATTTTTACGATTGATGTAAAAAATTAAATATTTTATGTAACTTTTTACATCGTAAAAATTTTAAAAAAGATAATTTGAACTGCAAATTACACTAGTGGATTTTAGTTAACTGTATGAAAAGGTCATTGATAGGGTTTCAGAGTCTATGTTGCAACTGACATTCAGAAATTGCGTTAACTTGTCAAATCTGGTCTAGGATCAAAGAATATCTGTAACTACTTGAAAACTTAAATATATTCTAAACATAAGATCAATATGTATTAAAATATACTCCCTTTTCCTACTACATATCTAAGTGAGCCTGAACTTTCGTCATATACTTCAACAAAAACAACATGTCACTACAGATTTAATGCAGAAACAGGAAACAGTAGCCACTATCTGGTTTCACGTCAAGCCAAACATTAAAGAGATTTGCAAAAAACGTAAAACATTGGCACCCTTCTTGCTAAATATCTTTTTTTGGTTTGGAAAAGACAGTTTTTTTTAAATAAAAAATATGTTAATATGTAATGAAAGAATTTTAAGTGAATTCATAAAAATTTTAAAGTTCTTTAGTTTTCATTTCTAATATACTAAATATTGGCAGATATAAGCAGTGTAAACCACTGGTTCTCAACCAGGCGTGACTTTTGCCCTTCACAAGACATTTAGCATTTGGCAATATCTGGAGGTTTTTTTATTTATTTTTTTAGAAATAGAGTCTTGCTCTGTTGCCCAGGTTGGAGTGCAGTGGCATGATTATAGCTTACTACAGCCTCGAACTCCTGGGCACAAGCAGTCCTCCCACCTCAACCTCCCAAAGTGTTGGGGTTACAGGCATGAGCCATCATGCCCAACTGATAATTTTGATTGGGAGGGGTGCTACTGGCATTTAGTGAGTCAAGATCAAAGATGCTACAAAATGTCTGTAATGCATAGGAGAACCTCCCCAACAAAGAATTATTTCGTCCAAAATGTCAGTAGTGTCAAGGATGAGAAACTCTGATATAAACAAAAGCTCTGTTGGATCCTTGGTAAAATTTTAAAGAGTATAAACGTATTCTGAGACAAAATTATTTTAGCTTTGAAATAAAGTGCTTATGTGGGATTTCAAATATAATCAATTACCTCTTCCAAGTATACAATCGGAAATCCCACATGAGATTTGTTCACAATAGGAACAAATGAGGATTTCTTCAAAATAGGAAATCCCACGAGAATTTTATTTCAAAATAATATCAATAAAATATTTATTTCTGGTCAGGTGCAGCAGTTCATGCCTGTAATCTCAGTGCTGTGGAAGGCCAAGGCAGGAGGATCACTTGAGGCCAGGAGTTTGAGACCAGCCTGGGCAACATAGCAAAACCCCATTTCTACAAAAAAAAAAAACTTTTTAATTAAAAAATGTTGGGTGTATCCCAGCATCTCAGGAATCTGAGGCAGGAGGATCACTTTAGCCCAGGAGTTTGAGGCTGCAGTGAGCTATGATTGCACTACTGCACTCTGACCTGGGTTACAGAGTGAAACCCTGTATCTCAAAAAAGCAAAATTTATTTTTCTGATGAGTTTGTATGTTTTCATGTGGACTGTGAAAACTATGTGATACTGATTGGCCATGACCCCACCCAAATCTCAAGTTGAATTATATCTCCCAGAATTCCCATGTGTTGTGGGAGGTAATTGATTCATGGGGGCCAGTCTTTTCCCTGCTAGTGATAGAGAATAAGTCTCGTGATAGTGAATAAGTCTCACGAGATCTGATGGTGTTTATCAGGGGCTTCTGCTTTTGCTTCTTCCTCATTTTTCTCTTGCCACCACCATGTAAGAAGTGCCTTACACCTCCTGCCATGATTCTGAGGCCTCCCATCCATGTGGAACTGTAAATTCAATTAAACTTGGTGCCCCGTGTCCAATTAAACCTATTTTTGTTCCCAGTCTCGGGTATGTCTTTATCAGCAGCATGAAAATGAACTAATACAGTAAATTGGTATCAGTAGAATGGACTGCTGCTGAAGAGATACCCAAAACTGTTGAAGCGACTTTGGAGCTGGGTAACAGGCAGAGGTTGGAACAGTTTGGAGGGCTCAGAAGAAGACAGAAAAATGTGGGAAAGTTTAGAACTTCCTAGAGACTTGTTGAATGACTTTGAACAAAATGCAGATAGTGATATAGACAATGAAATCCAGGCTGAGGTGGTCTCAGATGGAAATGAGGAACTTGTTGGAAACTGGAGCAAAGATCACCCTTCTTATGTTTTAGCAAAGGGACTGGTGGCATTTTGCCCCTGCCCTAGATATTTGTGAAACTTTGAACTTGGGAGAGATGATTTAGGGTATCTGGCACAAGAAATTTCTAAACAGGAAAGCATTCAGGAGGTGACTTGGGTGCTGTTAAAAGGATTCCATTTTAAAAGGAAAACAGAACATTAAAGTTCAGAAAATTTGCAGCCTGACAATACAGTAGAAAAGAAAAACCCATTTTTTGAGGAGAAATTCAAGCTGCCTACAGAAATTTGCATAAGTAGCAAGGAGCCTAATATTAATCTTCAAGACCATGGGGAAAATGTCTGCAGACCATGTCAGAGACCTTCACAACAGCCTCTCCCATTACAGGCCTGGAGGCCCAGGAGGAAATAGTGGTTTTGTGGGCTGGGCCCCTGGTCCCCATGCTGTGTGCAGCATAGGGACTTGGTGCCCTGTGTCCCAGCTGCTCTAGCCGTGGCTGAAAGGGGCCAACATAGAGCTCATGCTGTGGCTTCAGAGGGTGGAAGCCCCAAGCCTTGGTAGCTTCATGTGGTGTTGAGCCTGTGGGTGCACCGAAGTCAAGAATTAAGGTTTGGGAACCCCCACCTAGATTTCAGATGTATTGAAATGCTTGGGCGCCCAGGCAAAAGTTTGCTGCAAGGGCAGGGCCTTCATGAAGAACCTCTGCTAGGGCAGTGCAGAAGGGAAATGTGGGGTTGGAGCCTCCACACAGAGTCCCTACTGGAGCACTGCCTAGTGAAGCTGTGAGAAGAGAGCCATCATCCTCCAGACCCCAGAATGGTAGATCCACCGGCAGCTTGCACCATGTTCGTAGAAGAGCTGGAGACACTCAACACCAGCCCATGGAAGCAGCCAGGAGGGAGGCTGTACCCTGTAAAGCCACAGGGGCACAGCTACCCAAGACCATGGGAACCCACCTCTTGCTTCAGCGTGACGTGGATGTGAGACCTGGAGTAAAAGGAGATCATTTTGAAGCTTTAAAATTTGACTGCCCCACTGGATTTCGGACTTGCATGGGCCATGTAACCCCTTTGTTTTGGCCAATATCTCCCATTTGGAATGGCTATACTTACCCAATACCTGTATCCCCATTGTATTTAGGAAGTAACTAATTTACTTTTGATTTTACAAGCTCATAGGCAGAAGGGACTTTCCTTCTCTCAGATGATACTTTGGACTGTGGACTTTTAGGTTAATGCTGAAATGAGTTAAGACTCTGGGGGACTGTTGGGAAGGCATAATTGGTTTTGAAATGTGAGGATGTGACATTTGGAGGGGCCAGGGGCATAATTATATGGTTTGGCTGTGTCCCCACCCAAATCTAAAGTTGAACTGTATCTCCCAGAATTCCCATTTGTTGTGGGAAGGACCCAGGGGAAGGTAATTGAATCATGGGGGCCTGTCTTTCCCATGCTATTCTTGTGATAATGAATAAGTCTCACAAGATCTGATGGGTTTATCAGGGGTTTGGGCTTTGGCTTCTTCCTCATTTTTGCCTTGCCACCACTGTGTAAGAAGTACCTTACCTCCCACCATGATTCTGAGGTCTCCCCAGCCATGTGGAACTGTAAGTCCAATTAAAACTCTTTTTGTTCCCCATTTCAGGCATGTCTTTATCAGCAGTGTGAAAACGAACTGATACACTATGCATTAGTTCCTATTTGCTTACGCTACTAAACAGCCCACAGGCCAGTCTGCTGTTCACTATTTAACTTTTCACATTTTATTATTTTTAAATCTTATAAGCTTTCCTCAAATCCTTTGTAAAGGACAGGCAGAGTATGAAAAATATTGGGTTAGGTTCCAACTGTATTGGCAACCCTAAAAGAAAAGCACCTTGACATTTTATTTTAACGTATTTTAAGCAACATCTGAAGAGGTAATAAACTTTTGCATCAGTCGTATATTTATTGGATGCTTTCTCTGTGCCAGTCATCATACTTGGCATTAGGGATATTATAGTGAGCAAGCCTGGGCCCTTGTTTTTTGCAGAGCTTCAGTCCACCTGACAGTAATAGAGAACCTTTTAATAGTCACTTTGTGAATGAGTTTATTAATGAATATTAGTAGAACATTAGTGGGTTTTTGGCAGCTCATTCAGAGGCACATAAGGGAAGGTAGTAGTATTAGGTCGTGTAAATACAGCAAATACAGAACTGAAATAGAAGTGGAGAAATCTAAGTTCCATTCCTTTACCCCGGAAATTGTTCTATTTGAGGTGAAGTGACAGAATGAAGAAGATTTACTATCTTACCAGACTTATAACTAATGGAATATTGGTCATTCAAAAGACATATTTCTTTGGCATCTAACCCTCAGAATGACAGTATGTAACACATTCTTAATCATGTTTTATTTAGATTAATAGTTACATTTGTTTTTAATCCCATAACACATAAACTGAGGAGAAAAGGGGTTCAGTGTTGCTTTTTACTGCTGATTAAAGTATGTTAAATTGGTAACATGCTAGGGGGATTGGAATTAAGGAGGACTTATCCTTTTAATGTTGGATATTTAGCAGCATTAGAATTTTCATACTTGAGTATTTTGGAGTTAGCAGACTTGTTAAAGACAACTCTTTGTCACTAATATATAAAGTAGATATGTAAAAGCAGACTTTATAAATTTTTAAATGTATATATCACATTGTTTCTCAACTTTGTCCTCTTATTTCAGGTTTTTTTATTCATTATTCTTCCCTGGGCTAATTGTATGTGGAACTTTATGTGTATGTTTGGTCATTATCCTTTGGGGAATCAGACTGCTGCTACAGAGAAAGAAAAAATTAGTGTCAACTAGCAAAACTGGGAAAAATCAAATGGTGATTGCATTTTTTCATCCATACTGCAATGCTGGTGGAGGAGGAGAAAGAGTGTTATGGTGTGCTTTAAGAGCCCTGCAGAAAAAGTAGGTATGCATCTGTCTTAGCTAATTTGCTATATTGTTCCACTTCTTAAAAATTATTACCCAGAAATTCATCTTTCTAAAGCACCTAGTAGTAAAAAATGAATTCCTTTTTAAACTGTTCTTCAATAAGAAAATATTTCTTTCATGTGCCCACATGCCTTATATATCCTATTCAATTTTTGTTGCTATGATAAAGAATTAGACAAGGCCAGGCATGGTGGCTCTTACCTTAATCCCAGCACTTTGTGAGGCCATGGCAGGCAAATCACTTGAGCCCAAGAGTTTGAGACCAGCCTCAGCACCATGTTGATACCCTGTCTCTACAAAAAATTAGCTGGGCATGATGATGTGCGCATATAGTCCCAGCTACTCCAGAGGCTGAGGTGGAAAGATTGACTGAGCCTGGGAAGTCAAAGCTGCAGTGAGCTGTGATTGTGCCATTCACTGCACTTCAGCCTGGGTGACAGAGTGAGAATCTGTCTCAAGAAAAAAAAAGAAAAAAGGAAAAAATGGACAGTGGATGGGGAAAACATCTGCTTTTTTTTTTTTGTTTTTGAGTTGGAGTTTCGCCCTGTTGCCCAGGCTAGAGTGCAATGGCACGATCTCGGCCCACTGCAACATCTGCCTCCTGGGTTCAAGCGATTCTCCTGCCTCAGCCTCCCAAGTAGCTGGGATTACAGGTACCCACAATCATGCCCAGGCTGCTCTTGAACTCCTGACCTCAGGTGATCTGCCCACCTTGGCCTCCCAAAGTGCTGGGATTACAGGCATGAGCCACCATGCCCAGCCAACATCTGCCCTTTTATAGCATAATTTAATGGGAATAACTGGTTTCCTTGGGGGAGAGTGTATACAGAAGAGATTAAGTAATAAGGAGAAATATACCAAGTACCTTAGAGCACTTTAAGCCTGAATACCTTCAGGCAGCTGCGGCACACAAGAATAATCTTTATTAAAGCATCTATTTGACTCAAATTTTTATATCATTACCAGCTGGATTGTTACCATGTTAGAAGGAATATGGTGTTACACATCTTGTAATATTTTAGGCTTCCTCATCTCCATCCCAATACCCCAAAAATATTTATGATTCCCTTTTAGAAAGGAAAAAGCATAGTAGTTTCCATTATTTTATCATATGAGGAAAATTGTTATTCTTCATGGTTACCCTACTTCTTGGTATACACCCTTCATTCAGTGCCAAGGCCCTCACGCAGAATTCCCTCAGCTATACCTTTCTGTAATCTTAGCCCCTACCCCTGTATTTGCTCTGCCATCTTCTGTAACTGCCTAAATACAAAGAATCTCTTAAGTCCCAACTCCTTGATGGTTTTCCTACTCTCATTGATACTACATTTTTCTTCTCTAACTAGATTATCTACCTCTTGAGGGCAGTGGTAAAGTTTCATGATATCTGTACACATAGTCCCCAGCAGTCTCTATTACTCCTAACTCAAATACAAGGAGAAAAAACCCAAATCATTAATATGACCTGGAAGATACTTTTTCATCTTGCTCTGGCCACATTGTGTTTCTCATCCCTCCCCATTCCTTCACATGTACTCTGCTCCAACATGCAGAACAAGGAGCAGCTCACCGAACACGTCATGCTTTCTCTAGAGTCCCTCCCTTTGTATATGGTGTTCTTTTCTTCTGAAATAGCCTTTTT